TGCGTAAAACGTGAAAATTGGACAGTTACCTAACGGTCCATAATTTGCACATACAAGAACCAAGAAAGAAAGGTTAAGGTTAGGAGATTAAGACTTTGAAAGAGAGTGGAGCATTTTTTCTTTTTATTTAGGTCATGACCCACCAACTTGAGAAGCCTTATTAGATAAGCATCTATAGCAGAGTCGCAATATGGAAGTCCTGCAACATATAAAACATGTACCAATACTGTTGCATGTTTATCACATAAAGTGTCAAATAGAAGTCATCATAATCAGGAACCAAGGGCCCAAAATGACTAGGCCTGATCACTGATCACTTTGATCAAAGGAAAGAAAAGAAAAGAATCTAATCAAACCCATCATCAAAAAATGTGTATGAATATGCATTTCCTTAGAATTTATTTTTCTTCATTGTCATTGAGAAGAGAGAAAACAAAGAGCATCTTGCCTACACTGTGGCCATATCCGCATGTGCTATCCCTTCTGTAAAGACATGAAAAAAAATGGGCAAAGTACTGGCTAGTGGTTTACTGCTATTGTTTGACATTGAAATGACATTGTTGGTGACATCTTTGAGAGCGAATATATATATAAAAATAATAATGTTGATTTTCAGACATACTATGGTTGGTGGTTGGGGTGAAGATGCAAGAAAGTGTCATAGTTTTGTTAGGCCTGTTAGGTCTTTCTCCAAAATGGGGTTGTGGTTGTGATTGTGAGGATTAATAAATAAATTAATCAAAGAGTAGGGAGTGTTGTCAATTCATTAAAACAGTGGAGGGAGCGGAGGCATTTTGATTTTTGATGATCAAATGTGTCTGTGTGTATTGTGACCCACGTATCTCAGTCACATTGTCATCAACCACACAGCTTTAGATGCGTATTCCATCTCTCTATGATTGCAAGTCCCTTTCTCTCTGCCATGTTGCTTCAACAAGCTAGCAACAACCAAACAAAACCTAAAACCCCACTCAACTCCTGCAAACTCCAATCATATCTACCTTTTGATTCATTTCTCACTTGACTCTAATTGATTTTGGTTTCCAAACTTCAATGCTCTTCTTCTTGACTCTCTATGTAATTAGTGTTTGAGTAATTTAATTAAGTTAAAAGATTAGAGCATGCATTAACTAAAGGTACTGGATCGAAGTATTGAACTTGAATGTGTCCACAAAAAGAGTAGGTGGTCCCTCAGATCTTCTGAATCGTCCAAGATATTGATTAGGTGGGTATTCCACTGCTGAAGTGGTGAAGGGTAAGGTAATTGGATGGGCAGGTTCCGTGTCCGATGGTGCTCATATATTTGAGGAACAAAGAAGCGGAGGCCTTTTAGCCACATTGATGAAATAGAAAAGTTGGGTAGGAGCGGAGGAAACACTAAGTTAATTTTACAGCTATGAAAAACTGATTGAAAAGGAGTATATATAAATCTTATCATCTTTCTTTTAAGTCTCTTCTTTTTCTACCTTTGCCTTTTGTTTCTTAGGTGGGTACACGAACGCAAGCTTTTTCTACGCCTAGATTCTGACCACAATGCCTTCACGTGATGCCTTGGAGTTTTTCTCTCTGTGGAAAAAGTTTAATTCTCAGTTATTTTTTATATATATTTGACCAACTCAACTCAACCCATCCCAAAACCAATCACCTCTTTGATATTATTGTTTTTTCTAATTTTCTTGTTTTTAAAACAACAAGCCTAATTCTTAGAATCGTTTGCTACCTTCTCTCTTAATGATATAAAAAGTGTTGGCTGGGTGGGTGGGTGTTTTTTGATATAAACTTCACATTCACAGCCTGCCCTGCCGCCTGCACCTTGTAATTGGTGGGTACTAGTGAAATCATGAATGCTTCAGTTTCTTCCTCTTTATATGCATGTAACAGTATATCACTTCCATTACTAACAGTGCTTGGACAAGAGATCGTATATGTATGCATAATTGTCAGGAAATGAATTTAAAAAAAGAAAAACTACACATGGTAGAATAATTCTTCATGCATCCCATACACATACGGTAGACAACATTATCATGCATGTATGACATACAAATTCTCATTTAATAGTCATTGAGTTCATCGAAGAATTGTTCACCGTGTCAGACATATACTGTTATTAATCTTAAATCACAGTTATATACGAGGGTGTATAATTGCATGCAAATGCATGCATGTTTAAAGTGATGGAATTGACAAACTTATATAGAATTCAGATATATTTTATAAGCGTTTTTTTTTTTCCTTTTATTTGGGAAATGTGGCTCCATTAGTACTATTATTATATGAATATCAGTGTAAAATAATTAGAGGGATAAGATATATATATTTTTCATCACTCCAAGAAACACTGAATTTAATAAGATCTTTAGCCAACATACCTATACTACACAACCCTAGCCTTTCTAAGTAGATTATGTTTATGTTTATGTTATTTTATAACAAAAACAAAAGGCAATCTTGCCTAACCTTTCTTTTCTTATTATTATATACTATCAAAATTCCAAAATAATATCATATTATACCCATTTGTTATTCTTTCTCCCACACCAACTTTTCTAATTGCAAATTAAAAATGAAAGAAAATGAATTGTGCGGAGAAGAGGAAGATTTGCCTGCAGCTTTGGAGATATGTATTATTAATTATACATTGATACTCATTATATAATATTATAAAGGATTTGGTTCTTTGTTGGATTAAACAGATTTTATAATATATGAAATGTGGATACTGAGAAGCATGGGAAGAGCAGAGATTCCACTTCCTTAATGGAAGAAAGGGATGGGGCTTTTCAAAACCTATTTATTATCTTGACCAAGACTCTTTGTGCCATTCTTGCAGCAGCTTCCCATACCAAACATTTCTCCAATCCATTGATTCATTCAAATTTTTTTATTAAATAATAAGAAGAAGAGAAACCATCCAGCACCACTATCAACAACATCCAAAACTTCATTTACTTGTAGCCAGAACAAACTCCTTTAGCTTACATCACCAAACACACTCTTGTCCCCAACTCTATTATTTTAAACTTTAAAGCGACCGTACATTCATGCATGCATTATAAAAAATTTAAACTGCAATAACTGAACCTATTTATAACACCCAATATCTCTGCACACTAAAAAACAAATAGGGTCACCTTCAAAATAAACGACTGAGGATGAAATTATGGAGATACCAATGTCTGTCACAATCATGAAATTGAAGGCCAGTGACAGATGCTGGTGTGGTGGATATATGATTGATGGATTGGATTATGTGCTGAATTATAGACTAATTATATTGCTAATGAGAAATGAGAAGAGTTTCTTAATTAATTAATTAAAGGCGGTCAAAGACAATGCATAATGGTCTGTCAAAACTTTCTTGGTGTCAGGTAAGATAAAATGAAAGCACTGAAAGGAAAGCTCCTTTTAGTCATCATGGAACTTGCTTAGTGTCAGACACTAGCTAGATTGAGTGAGAGAGAAAATACCTCAGATCCCAGAACTCATAAAACTCTTATTTAAATTAATTGAACATTAATACAACAATATTCAAACCTTCTTCTCATCTAAGTTTGCGGAATCATTAGTGCAACCCTTCTATAAAAGTGTCTACATCTAGATCAATGTTAGTCAAGGAAAACACTTTGATCGAATTATATATACCAGCACAGGAAAAGGATCTATCGTGTGATTTTGTGCTTTAATATATAGAGCTACTTTAGAAATGGGGTCCTTGATCGCAGACTCATGATAAGTACATCATTCAGACTAAGAAATGAGGTTCACAAACAAAAAGTTGAACGATTTATACATGAAGTGGTTCCTCTGGCATGCAGCTGTAAATTGTGTTGAAAAGTTTGACGAAGATTACTTGTTTTGGCTAACAAGCTAGTATGCATAATATATATAAAAGAAACATACCATGTGACTGAGGTTGATGTAGCAAAAAAACCCAGCTAATTAATTTGACGGGCTTTAAATATCTAGTATAGTTAACAGTTGAATTTTTAGCAATGTAAACAAAAACAGAAGGGATATCAGTATATCACCAATTTTCTAACTCATTGGTAGTAAGTAAAGCAATTCGGTGCAATAATGTCTGGACGTGGTTGGTGACTCATCTGTCAACACTTGCAACTTCGCAGATAAGCCACGTACCAATCAATAAAACTAGTTAGTATGTAAAAATAAAAATTTCCCCACTTGTATAATTAACATTCGCAGCTAAAAAACAATGGCGGTGCAGTTTGTTGTTTACATTAAGCTCATAATAAATGAAGATAGTGGTGAGGAAGTTATTATTTTCTGGGACTGAAATGAGTGGTATTACACTTAAGTGTGTCAGTAGGGTAAGAAAATAAAACATTGGGGTTTATACACATCCTCAGAAAAATGGTGCCATGTATTGATGATGTGGTGTGTAAGATCATTATAAGGTTTGGTCTCTGATGATAATTCAATTCATAGTAAAGAGAAAAAGTACTGGAGATGATTTGTTATGAATGGAGGATTGATAAAGAGGGCCGTTGGGAACCGGGAAGGCAAAAAAGATTGGCTCTCAACAAAATTATTGGTAAAATTTAAAGCTATGATTAATAAATATATATGTATATACAGTAACCAACAAGCATAAGTAGAAATAGAGAGAGAGAGACTGAGAGAGCTAGGTATAAATGTGAGATTTCCATCTTGGTGAGAGTTTATATAAAGGAGGATAGGATGTTGGGTTTATCCTTCTTTAAAAGGGAGATATAGAATTATAGATCAAGAGAGGGAAAAAAGAAAAGGGTCTATTATATAATTGTGAGGAGTTGATTTATGGAAGAACATCTCAACACATTAGCTGTTACTCATCTCCTTCAACACACTCTCAGAAGTTTATGCATTCATGAAAACTCTCAGTGGGTTTATGCAGTCTTTTGGAGGATCTTGCCTAGAAATTATCCACCACCCAAGTAAGTAAATATAAAAGCAATACAGACTGTATAGCCTAGATTAATGCATTGNAGGATAGGATGTTGGGTTTATCCTTCTTTAAAAGGGAGATATAGAATTATAGATCAAGAGAGGGAAAAAAGAGAGAGAAAAAAGAAAAGGGTCTATTATATAATTGTGAGGAGTTGATTTATGGAAGAACATCTCAACACATTAGCTGTTACTCATCTCCTTCAACACACTCTCAGAAGTTTATGCATTCATGAAAACTCTCAGTGGGTTTATGCAGTCTTTTGGAGGATCTTGCCTAGAAATTATCCACCACCCAAGTAAGTAAATATAAAAGCAATACAGACTATATAGACTAGATTAATGCATTGTCTTCATATATTATTTTATTAATCAGTGTGCTAATTAAGTAGATTATATATAACTCTTTTTTGTCTTTTAACATACATAGATGGGATGGTCAAGGAGCTTATGATAGGTCAAGAGGAAACAGAAGAAACTGGTATATGTGCTCTTAGTTCATTTGTTAATGACATTAATAACTTCTTATTCCACTCATATTGCATCTTGATAACATTATACATATGGCAGGATATTGGTTTGGGAAGACGGTTTCTGCAACTTTGCAGCCTCAACTGCAGAGATCAATACTGGGGATTGTGCAGCCTCCTCGGCTTATGGGAATTGTGAATTTCAACACTATCAAGGGCTGCAACCAGAGCTCTTCTTTAAGATGTCCCATGAAATTTACAACTATGGAGAAGGGTAAGTGAAAGCCTGAAAATATTTTTCTTTTTCTTTTTTGTATTGGATTAACTATACATAAGATTTTGAAAAGCAAGAAACTTGATCTGGTTTCGGATGATTTTATGAGCAGTTTGATAGGAAAAGTTGCTGCTGATCACAGTCATAAGTGGATATACAAAGAACCAAATGACCAAGAGATCAACTTCTTGTCAGCATGGCATAACTCAGCAGACTCAGTAAGCATAATCTTACACTATAGTTTAAGATTTCATGTTGCACTTTCCTGCAGAAAAAAATCTGTCATTTTCTAACTGAAATGTATCTTTGCAGCATCCAAGGACATGGGAAGCCCAGTTCCAGTCTGGTATAAAGGTATAATATTTTTATAAACATCATCACCATATATATATATGCTAAACATAATACAACTTAGATCTGCCTTTTCCTTTTTTGACTCCATCCTTAATATTTGTCCTTGCAGACCATAGCCCTGATTGCTGTTAGAGAAGGTGTTGTCCAATTGGGAGCTGTACACAAGGTTTTTCTTCTTCTTTCTCTCTCAAGATCTCTTTCACAAACAGAACTTGTTTTTGTTTTTGTTTTTCAGTGACATTAATTATATTATATGTTATGTCCTTAAAGGTAATAGAAGACCTGAGCTATGTTGTTCTACTGAGAAAGAAGTTTAGCTACATAGAGAGCATTCCTGGAGTGCTCTTGCCGCATCCATCGTCTTCAGCATATCCTTTCAAGGTAGATGGTTATAATTATGGATTAACAGCAGATAATAACGCGTGGCACTATCAACCTACTACCCTTGCACCACCAACTGAATACTATGAGCAATTCCATCAACCAATGAAAATAACTCCATCAATGAGCAGCCTTGAAGCCCTTCTCTCAAAGCTGCCATCAGTGGTGCCGCCATCGGCTCCTGGGTACTGTGAGTCACAGCAGCCAGTAGTTTTACGGTTTGGAACAACAACGCAAAGGCCGATGGAGTTGATCGAAATGGAGAAAGGGGCCAAAGAAGAGATGGATGATCGTGAAGATCAGTACAGGGGTCAACATGAAATAGGTGAAAGTAGCAGTTCAATGCCGGGTTATCATCGTCAACATCACTTTCATTATTGAGAATGTTACCTAGAACTAGAAATCAAGTGATTGGGTGATCCTTTAAAGCTGTTAGTTTATGTCTCAAGTCTCAACCAGTGTTTGTACTAAGACTTTGTAATTTTGTATCAGAATTAGCCTTGGAACCACTTTAATATAGTCCAGTCCTACATCCTCTAGTAGATATTATATCATATCATCATTATTCTGTTCAACCCTCTACTATTACCAAATTGCTCGATGTTTTTCGGTAATTTCAATAACATTTTCTTTAACTAAATAAATTAATAATATTAAAAAGAAAAAATTAAGACACCAACTATTAACCAAGATGCAGTTGTATGTTTTGTTCTGTCTATATGAATCCAACATCAAGTGCCTGTTTTTTAACTTCAGTTTACAGCTCATTGCAAAAATCTAATCAAGTCAACTTCATTTTTGGGTAACAGCTTTAAAATTACTCCAATCTAATACGGCAAACTTGTAGAATAATTTACTTGTAAATGTAACCGATGGCAAAATTTTCACTGAATTGAACAAAGACTGCATATGAAGCAGCAAAAACATTGACCTGACAATCTGAGAAGTGCAAGTGGTACAAACCAAGAAACTTTCTATTGACTTCAAAAATCAAAATACAAGGAGGCTTAATAATTGATAATTTTCCCCCTGGTTGAGGTGTTGTAATGAAGTTTTGCATCCAACTTTAAGTAATCACTTTAATGGTTAAGTACCCCTGGCCTTAATGATAGGCCTCTGTCTTCTCCTTGAATAGCTTGAGTAAGTTCTCCATGCTCATTACTGAAATGTCTTTCTGATCTTTCACATCTCTCTCCCGTACACTCACCTGTAATTGATCAAAATCACGTCATTTTGTGTTCAATTTGTTCATAAATCATGCAATTAGTATTCTTTATGCTTCTTTTTTTACTTTTATAAGAAAACAATCTGTACAGTATCTAGCCATCAACTTCACCTAAACACTTCTTGGACAAGTAATTAGCATCATTAATTAATCTCCAGTTAGTTACATCATCAAATAAATTAGGTCTACTTTCCCAGACATGTCAGTGTACAAAGTTCAAGAGATTAGTGAACCCATGCCCTTGAGGAGCCGAAATATTCATGTTTATGCCACATATATATAAAATCTATCTCAGACATGTCGATGTACCAAGTAGCTGCTTACTACAACTATAAAACCGGACCGTATGAGCGTATATTAAACACAAATAGGATAATACAACCTGTCCAGTTTGGCTTCCTCTTCACAACAACCAATATATAGTGTATTGTGCCAACTGAGCTTCCCGTATCTGCAGAAAGACCATCAGAACAGACACATTCTATGACTTTATTAAAGGTGCAAGATTGCTATGTATTATAATTGAAACAATAAAAACATTTAAGTTAAGGATAGTCAGATTGATGTAGTATGACATACAAATCAGTCTCAAATCATAACTAAGCAATGTACATCAAAGAGAAGCGAACAAAAATATTTCATAGAAAGACAATCCATCACACTTCACTGCCTATACTAACATCTACCAATGAAACTATGTCAATGCATAATTTCTCATGTTGCACAACATTTCATGTTCAAAGACGAAGCAGATTGCTAAACCAGGTTATATCACACAAGCTAAATGCTTCAATTTTGGAAAATACAACAAAAACATGGTAAACGTGATGTAAATATTTTAACTCTTTAGAAAAATAATAAGTCACATGCTCTGAATGCATAACCATTTGGCAGTAGAATATGTTCATGAACACCAAATGCTCCAGTATAAGTAATGAATAAGTTCGGTTAACATCACCAAACACACGACTTAAACTGTTGTCAGCAATTCCAAAGGAAAACCTAACAATCCACCACGACTATCTGAAGCACCAGAAGGACGGTTTACATAGGCAACATATATTCATATAAAACCAAAGATACATGATTATATATTAAGTGGGGAGAAACAACAAATGCAATACCCCAAAAACACAAGGCAGTTCAAATAATAAAAGAAAGGAAAATCATTGTGTAGATGGAGGTTGAAATGAACCTTTTTCTGGATCTTTCTATCTGTTGTATCTGCATCAACATAATAACCCACTTGCTGAATTTGATCCCGTACTATAAAATTACAAAAAGAGATAACATGATGAAAAAGTCAAACTAATATAGAACTTACATTCATAGCATCCCTTCAACTACGGTACAACAAATAAAATAAAAAATGAGGAAGATAACAAAAATTCTATATCATCTTACAAACAGACAGAAAACCATAAGCCAGACAACAAAATCTTCATGAATCAAGGAAGGTGCATAAAACAAGGTAAATAAATTTATCTAAGCAGATTCAAGTTTTCATGAGATCAAGTGCAAATCCCCAACAGTCAGACAAGACAAACGTCACAAGTCTTTAACAACCGAATGTCACACATATTCTGCAACCAAGTTAACACAGTCCGACAAGCTATAGCCTACATGGGATTCCAGAAGTTTTACACTGATTAACATCATGGGTACAAACAATAAGCACTGGCAACAAAACAACTACACTACCTGCAACGCATATGGCTGTGATTTCTCTGAGACAGGGCAAACAATTGCTTGACGGGGACTAAGCCAAAAGGGCCACTTCCCCTTGTAATGTTCAACAGTATAGCAAACATACGCTCAACAGAACCCAATATGGCCCTGTGTATCATAAAAGGTCTTTCTGTCTTCGCTTCATCTTCGGCTGAGTAACCCAAGTTGATCGATCAGGTAGCTGGAAGTCAAGCTGTAAGCCAGAAATTCATCTATTAAGTGATAATTCGAAACATTACAAGAAGAATAGCAGAAAGAAAGCAAAATAACAATGACCATCACACTGTAAAGTTGCACACTGAAATTTCTCTTCAATGATCAGATACACTGATATCTATTTTTGGTCCATAAATGCTCCATCTCCTTCATTTATCTGCACATCATGCAATGCAAATAAAGATAACAGAAGCCAACACAATCAGATATCCAAGCAATCAAGTGAGATTTTGTTCTTATGCTTATTAACACAAAAAAATTATGTTAATCACCAAGTTTTTTTCCCAGAAAGATTAAATTAGCCAACAAGTTCAACATACTGATTTCATAAACTGATTGTAAAAACAATGGAGTTTTAAAAGTGTAAAACCAAATCAGGAAAAGAAAAGAAAGCAACAACATATTCACCTGGTCAATGTTTCAGAATATAAATTCTTATAATCGGGCATCAATAGTATTCATACTTCATGATTTATTCTAAAAGTAATGAATTGGATGCCCAGTTTGGTACCGAAGCATAATTTACACATCAAGTACAGAGATGAAGCTGCTTAAGACAGCTATGGTATGCCCAGAGGGAAAAACTCATGGTAGAATATAGTATGCTAATTCACAGAAGACCCAATGAAGAAAACTTCACATGTACATCGATTTAAGGTAAAGAAAAAATTACCTGCCATGGCTTACCGAACATTCAATGCTTCTGTAAGAGCAGCTTCTGCTTTCTCCCATGTTGCCAAGTCACCTAGATACTTTTCTGGCCTCTAAATATAGGTATTTGCAACAAAGATTAATGAATGTCATCCATTTGAGCACACAAAATTCAGTAGTAAGAGTAAATATTTGTAGCACAACTAAAATAAAACTTCATTCAACAAACATGCAAGGAAATATTTTAAGTAAATATCCTTACTTTGAATACATTAACAAAACAATAGTACAACGATTGATTTACCCATAGAACCAATACACGTATCACAGAAATGACGCATATATTCCACTTCAACACACCCACCACACACACAATATCGATGCAAAGAGGATATATGATAAAACAGAGATTTTTTTCTTTCAATATTGGAAAAAGAAGAGGGATCCAGGAAAATGAATTAATGCAACAAACAGTAAAAGAATAAGCAGTTCTGTAGCAAATAACATTAGAATCTCATTGATAAACATTTAAGCCATCAACATAGTCAACACTGTAAAAGCAGATAAAGAGAAAATATCATACAGTTGACAGCTTCAGTTCATATGTGAACCCAATATTGTATATGCGTAATCGATGAATTCCAGGACACCCTTATACTTCGTCTTTTATCTGAAAAATGAACAACAAAACAATTACACCAAAAAAAAAAAAAAAAAAAAAAAAAGAAGCTTCTATGAGATATCAATTGAACTCAACTCACTGGGATTCCCTGCAGAAAATGAGCATCATCCTGCAACAAAAAACAGCATAAAATTAATCAAAAGAATGGTATTCTAAAAAACCAAGAAATAAATTCAGGGACTTAAACTATAAATGACAGGTTTGATTGTTCATGAGATTATTGACCACACCCTGAATGACAATCCTAGACGATTATATCCTACTTTCAACCCAAGAAATTAAAGGATGTTTGTGACAGTAAATAGCATAGAGTTTACAAGAAAAAATAAAGAAACATTTAGCTTTAGCTTTAAAGGTGCAGAAGCCAAGCATAAGATTTACAAGAAAAATAAACTAAATGTTAGCTTTAGCTTTAAAAGGTGCAGAAAGCCAAGGAACCCAAACATTGAATGCGAGCAGTCCAATGATTATAGAGTAAAATTTAGTGATAGCAAACCACATCCAAAAGATACCTGCTGAAATCTCCTGACACAGAGTTAATCCAGTCAGTGACCCACTGCCTCATTCCGATGCAACACCCCAAAATCAGCCAGTCGAAGTGGGTAGTTCTGCAAATTGAGAGTAGATCAATCAATGTTATGGCTTGCTAAAAGATGTTGAATTTTAAAGAAAATTTGTTGACTGATAATGGTTTGATTCTAGTATAAGGAGATGTTTGTTAGCCCAAGAAGAAGAAGAAGTTAATGCAAAAATTTCTGTTACGACACAGTTCGCATCATTCTTTTTTTTTTAGGAAAGTCCAGCACGTGATGCATGTAAAAGAAAAAGATGATAAAGTGATTCAGTTTTCATGACCAACTTGAATTATTTTATTATCAAACTTCTCCTCCATCATACAAATCGTTGGCCTCATGATATAGGCACATCCATACGGACTAGCATGACATAAGGATCTTAAACATCTATTTGATTTGATTAAACCAACCTTTCAAATGCAGAGTGACTAACTAAAAACAATTCAAGTGAAGAAAATGCATGACATTTTTACAGAAAAATGCTGATATTAAATGACTATCCTCTATAGAAACGAACCTTGTGGTCAACACTCAAACAGTGCCGGACAATTCATTGGCTTCAATCCAAATTCTTGTTTCTCAATCTATGCCAAAAAATTGAATACAGCACATCAAAGAAGAAAAGAATAACAGTATTCTAAAATAAGACATTATCTTCTTTGCCTAAAGACTTATATAAGGTGTTAAATCCATAAATACACAAGCATATCTCCCTTTATATTACAGAATTCACAAGCGAACTTAGTGTCTCCTTTCCATTAACTTGAAATTTGCAAAGATCATACTTGCACACAAGGGCAGTGACTGTCCACAAGATAACTGAGTCCATATCCACAACAAATTACAAATGATAAACATGAGTCCTCCCCCCCTTTCTCTCTCTCTCTCTCTCTTCAAACACCAAATAAGAAACTTCAAGATTCAATCTATTATCTTTGCCCACAACCTTGACACAAGCTAGCATATTGTCATGAATTTCTTTGGAGTCCCCACCAGAAATAAACCATTGATCAGAATATCTCTTAACAAATAATACATAGTCCTGAAATTAGTAATGTGTACATGTTATGGTTGCATCTTCCAAATGAGCTAAATCGAAATAAATGTTCTCCTCACCTCCACTTAATTCTTGAGTAAATTTTCCATATAATGTTTGCACCATACCCTTCCAGTCATGCCATTACCTCTACTACTTCCTAAAAAGTAATAGTGAAACTTATGCAATAAACGACTAAATCTTACAAATACCTCGATCTAGCCATGCATAGTAAAACACAAATATAGTTCTCAATCTTGATTCTCTATACAGGAGGATAAATTGAAATTTGTCCAATCAAAAAATAGAAAAAAATAATACAATATTATTCAGAAGCTTACATCAATCAGAAACATATTCTCCTTGTAATTTGCTGCATGACCAGATGTTTCCCAGAGTTTCATGTTATACATATTTGGCATAACCTGCCAATTCAAGTAATTTAGGCACTATATAAAAGTATACTATAATATGATGTACAATAATCAAGAATAATTTTTACCTCCTGATAACTCTCTCCCAATACTGTTTTTTAATAAACTCCATCAATTTGTTGTAAATAC